TTGTCATAAATTATTGTAGCTGTGTTCAGGGGGGATTTCTTTAATTTACAGCTTAGTTTTGCAGTTTCACATTTTATTTTCGGGGAAATTCCCAGAAGGTTGCTTGACCACTCTAATTAAGCGCAAGCTCATCTTGATTCAACACTGAAGAAGAAAAACTAACCTTCTGTAAAACAGGGACTGTAGCAGTTAACTTTCAGTCTGCAATTTAGTTAGAAAAAGCTTCTAGCCTTTTTTGCGGAACTGAAGTATTGTCAGCAAATATACATTTGTCCTGTGAAAGAGTAGGCACACATTACCTATCCGAGTGTGACATTCTGGTAATAGATATGTGTGTGGAACTGGAGCTGTACGGCTGCAAAGCCATAGTTCCTAATAACCATTAAAAAAGTCAATAGTATTGATCTTTCAAGTCATACACAAGTGTTGTGTTATGGCTTTCCATGAATCATCAAAGTAAAAAAGACATTGCCTTGCCCACGTGATCAGTAGAGGAAAAGAAAATGTCAGCCCGCTTTTGCAGTGAGTCTTTCGAGAATGTGGCTCTACCACCCCCTTTTCCCTGCACACACAGAAGAAGGGGCTTCAGTTCCGTGGCAATTAGACTTTTCACTTAAAGACAGAGCAGGCCTGCAGTGCTGTCAGCTCGTCTGTGCTGGGGGCAGCAGGGTTCAGCAAAGGTGAGAGAATGTGGAGCATCTAATGAGAGCTGTGTGCAGTGTAACTGCCGCGGATCAGCAGGTTTCCCAATGCCTTTTATGTCCTGATTTTCCCATGAATTTTCTGTTCATCTCCAGGGATTGTGATCCCAACCAAAATTGGTTTCATCTCTCAGTGCCAGAGAAGCTATAGAGGAGGTGCCATATCTACAACCTCTTCCTTGAAGACTTTAGAAACTGTGTTTTTTTTTTTTCTTATTAGGTTGTATTCAGGTATAAACAGGATTGTACGGAATAAAGATGCAAAACCTGGATTAAGGTTGCGCGCCGAAAAACCCCTTTTAATAAAGGGAGCCGTTGTTTTTCTGATGGACCTTCCACAAGTTTTCACGTTCACTGAGTTTTTAGCGTTTTTAACTAACCTGATCTTTTTTGTTGTTGTTGTTGTTGTTCTGCAGTTCTTGACAGCAAAGCAATAGACACCAACCAACCCATGAATGCGCTAATGCGACTCAACCAGATCCGGCCCGGTCTGCAGTACAAGCTCTTGTCCCAGTCGGGGCCTGTTCACGCGCCGGTCTTCACAATGTCCGTCGACGTGGACGGCACGGTATACGAAGCCTCGGGGTCGTCGAAGAAGACGGCGAAACTCCATGTAGCAGTGAAGGTACGAGAGGGTTATAGCAGTGGACAGGGTAGCCTTGGGGGGGCTCTGCGGTGGTTTAAAACGTAAGGGCTCTTGTCCAAGCCCAGGTGGAGTACCACCTGTAAAGACGGCAACTGCCTGGTCTCCCGCCCTCACTGTGGGTGAGGAACGTACCCCGTCTTCCACTCCGCTCTGAACCTCCTACACAGAGCCGCGTAGCCTGTGATGTTACAAGGCAGGGCAGGCCTGCTCTTCCTCGTGCTTCCCTGTGTGAGAGCGCAGGGTTCTAGATTTTAGACTTCGAAAACATGCGACAGACAGACGCAAACCTGATGCCGTATATAATCAAAATTGGGAGGGGGAGGGGAAACAACTCTCAAGATGTGCAATAATATGTATGAGATACCCAAAGCTAAACTGGATTAAGTCTCGTTTATACAGTGGGAATGGCTAATCCGCTTTTCCAGCTTTGTCGTCCTAGAAGAGGAAGCGGTTCTGCAGTCATCAGTTTCACTCTGCTAAAATCTCTTCCTCTCTGCGTTTTGTTTTTCTGCACTGTGTGAGGATTCCTACAGATGGTTTTAAGTGACATCGTGCCCAGTTTGTCAGCTCTGTCACTTTTGTCTCCTTTGATACGAAGACAATGAATTCACTTCACACCTAATAAATACAAACGTCCCACAGCTGCACAGTGCTGTTAACCTGATTGTATTGTTGTTGAGAGTTGAGTCATTTACAATATGACAGGTCTGGTACAATTACAGAACCTGACAAGCCATGCATGATTGCTGGATGATGTCTGAGTCATCTTTTTTTTTGTGTGTGCACTACAGATTCATGTACAATAATGGTGTATCCTGCTATGCTGTTTCAAAAAAAATAAATCTTCCAGGTCCTGCAGGCAATGGGATACCCGACTGGTTTTGACACCGATCTGGACTCAATGAGCGCAGACGAAAAATCAGATGGCGAAGGAAAGATGGAGACGGCGTCTACAAACTCAAGCAATAATACAACCAGTTCCACCACCGACGGCTCCAACACACTGGAGGTAGCAGATCTGAGATTTAAGTGGACTTGATTTGAGTCCTGCTCGGGATTTTGTGGGGTTAAAGCAGTTATTTACTTTGAGGAGATAATGCTGTGGCAAAAATTGATTTCAGTCATAGTCTGCATTAAGCAGCATTCTCTGGAGAATAAGCCCCACAACATTAGCTGGTAATGGGCTTGTGTGGCGTTTTAAAAATGTATGGTTCCACTCTGGAAAGTCCTAAAGCAAATCCATATGGCCACCGTACATTAGCTGGCAAATTAAAACTGAACCTTTTCTACTGAAAATATTACATTTTCCTGGTGAGGTTATTTCTTCAAATATTTTATTCCGGAAATATAGAAACAAAGGGGGTCTGTTTTGCAATATACATTACTAGATAGGGTTTGTTGAAGCTAATTCACATATGATGCTTATAGGGTGATGAACATTGCTATTTCTGTATATCTTAGCTTATATACATCTGCTTCTGTAGTACAGACTTCATTGTTGTTCTGAACTTCATTAAACTAACAGTATATTTTTAAGGTATAAGCTTCCGTTAAAATGCTTCCTCCAATTTCACAAATGTCTTTTGAGTTTTGGTCATATACGCATATATGCTGCCACTGTTGTGTTCAGCATTTGAAATTTCTTTTTCCTACAGCATTAATGATTGATTTTCATTAAATATTTAGAGAGTGCTTCAAGGCCTCAGATGGAATTCACAATGTTGATAAGCACATCCAAGATTCCCTGTTTTTCACGCTTAATTATTTTGTTGGTCACAAGTCCTTTTGAAACTGTAGCTTACCACATCAGTGCCTGTTACTCCTTTGTCACAGGAGAATTGATTAACCTGTCCAAAAATACTAAAATTCTAATACTAATACTGGATTTATTTAGTATAAAGGGACTCAGTTTTAAAACCTGGAAAAGTAGTAATGAGATTGTAACATTTTTTTCTGAAACTGGGCACTTTGAGCTTAACTATCCATACTTAATTAGTAATTTTACTTGCGGTCTCTAAAAAAAGAGCTTTAAAAAGCCAATACTCTTATTACTTTTGCAGATACGGCCAGATCTATGTTGTAATATGCTGTAAGCAAGGACAAATATAAATCAAACACTTAAAACATAATTGAACCTTGAGGAGTTTGGTTTTGGGAGAACACGGTGCTCTGGAGGAAATGTGACAAAGTCGTCTTTTTTTTTTATTAATTAAAAAAAAACAGGTACGAACTCAGGGTCCTATTCTTACTGCCAGTGGCAAAAATCCTGTCATGGAACTGAATGAGAAAAGGCGCGGTCTGAAATACGAGCTCATATCGGAGAGTGGGGGCAGTCATGACAAGCGCTTCGTCATGGAGGTACGTCAGCCTGAGCCCTTACCACCAGTTTGATTTTGCAAAACACAACCTCGCCGTCTGCAGGCAGCAATAATAAAATGTACTATATAATTAACTACTTAACAAATCGTCCGCATTGGATATTAAGTTTTTATAGGCATCGTCAGGTACTTGTCTCTTACATGGAAGTAGTTCCCGTTTTTTTTCCCCCCGAATTGGCATGACACCAAACCCTTTTCATTTTATACGCGTTCATAATAGTTTTGCAAGTGGGTGGATGTGTGGAGTTGAATTTGGGTGCGAGTGTGTTCTTTTTTTTGAATGGCTTTTGTCCCGAACGTTTGTGAAATCTGTCGAAAACAACCCCCCCTTGCTCTGGGCAGGTTGTTGCTCGTCATCGAAGGGGTCGTTTTTGATGGTCTGGAAGAATTCTGAATGGCTGTTGGGAAAACAGTGCAGTTAGGAGTCCAACATTCATCCTCTTCTGTTCCCGGCTGTCTCAGGTGGAGGTGGACGGACAGAAGTTCAGGGGAGCAGGGCCCAATAAGAAGGTGGCCAAGGCCAGCGCCGCACTGGCTGCCCTCGAGAAACTGTTTTCAGGGCCCAACGCAGCAGGCAGCAAGAAAAAGAAGATTATTCCCCAGGTTCGACAATCCGCCTTTTAACTCCTCGATACGAATGGCCGCCGGCATCGCTGTAATGTGAGGCCAGGGCCGCATGCGGTCTGGTGACGAAACTGGCTGGCCGCGTGGGGTCGGAAATCAGTTGGGGGTTTGTGTTGTGGTGGCTGTGTCGGAACGGACTTCAGTTCTTAACCCTAGGAGGCAAGGTCGTAAAATTTCGAAAAAGGGCCTGAAATGCACCCCGAGGGTCCCTTTGTACCAACGAACCGGTCTTTTCACTCTTCACGATTAAAGTGTTTCACTTTTATTAATCGAAATTGCAGCGAGTCAGGAGATAAGCGACAGCTTGACCGCATGGCAGCCCAGAAAGACTGCTTTGGCATTGCCTGTGTGAGGCTTTTAAAGACGGAGGATCACTGTTCCTGTAACGGCGTTCCCGTGTCTCTCCCCAGACTAAAGGGGCGGTAGCGGCTGGGGCGTCGGTCGCTGCCCAGGCGGCGAGGGGGCGAGGCCGAGGAGCGCTGGCCAGGGGGGCGTTCGTGAGCGCGGCTGCCGCTCCAGGATACATCACCCCAGGTAGGAGCGCCGGAACCGGGGCCGGTCCCCAGGCAGGAGCACGACTGCCGCAGAAGTTGCCTCGGGAGGCTGTCCGTTTGTCCGAGTGGGAGCTGCAGGCCCAGTTTCTCACACCGGTTCTGAAACCTCGGTAATAAATTCATTGACGGTATAGGAAAAAAATGTACACATCCCAAATGAAGCACTCGCACAAATCTGAGGCAACAAAACGTCCGGTGAGGTGATGCGGCCCTGACACTGAAAACCTGCAGGCTTGTGAATACGGCTCTTTTAATCCAATGGAAATAGTTTTCGACTTCGAGACAGTTTTGCTGATAAATACTACTTGTTAACTCTGCATGCAGATCACATTGGAACATTTCTGCGGTGAAATGTCTGCTGCACAGCCTGTATGTATTCACCTGTATGTATTCACTCGTAAATCACGTTACAGGATGTACAGTGACTAGTGAACAGGAAGGGCCGCATCACGTCGCAGTTCCTGGGAACTCCCACTCTCGCCTTTGGTGAGGCCAGGGGTTTTTCAACAACATGGCAACTTACAGTAGTAATAATAATTGCTTACACTTATATAGCGCTTTTCTGGACACTCCACTCAAAGCACTTTACAGGTCATGGGGAATCCCACTACCACCACCAATGTGCAGCCCCCTCCTGGATGATGCGACGGCAGCCAGAGTGCGCCAGAACGCTCACCACAGATCAGCTCTCAGTGGGGAGGAGAGCAGAGTGATGAAGCCAATTCATAGATGGGGATTGTTAGGAGGCCATGATTGGTAAGGGCCAATAGGAAATTTGGGCAGGACGCCAGGGTTACACCCCTCCTCTTTTCGGGAAATGCCCTTGGATTTTTAATGACCACAAAGAGTCAGTACTTTCACAAAGTTCCCGATTTTGTGCCCAATTCAGAATTTTTCAAAATATTTCTATACCATCAATGAATTTATTTTGTTACAGAGGTCTGAGAAATCGGGACTGCAGTTCTCCTTTAAGTGAAGCGCTTTTTAATATCTGTACTGTGAGGTGTATTATCGTTAGGCGGTAAAGTATCTTCGTGATCCAGGGATGATAACTGTGCTTTATGGTGCTTGTAGGTTACGGGACGCCATATGGTTACAGTGCAGCAGCAGCCACCCCAGCTTACGGTACGTACAGCCCCCTTGTTGTTCAGTACCTCAGGACCCGAGTGCACAGTTAAGCTTTAAAAATGACCGAGGTGTAATTTGGAAAATACCCAAACAAGCGAGAAAAAGGAATGGCAGTTCCAAAAAAAAAAAAATGTTTTGATTTATTTTAAAAAGGGAATTTGAAAAGGGCCAAGAAAAAATAGTCCAATTTTATTAGAATCTGATAAAAGATCAACTCTCATAACCTTTTGGTTCTTACTGTGGTTGGAGCAAGCCTTGCTTAGCTTTGCCTGACTGTCAAAGTTCTGCTCGTTAATCTGCCTGCTCCCTTCCATTATAATTCTGGACATTTTTCTTAAGTGTAGTCCTAGTGCTTACAGCCAATATATATACTCCATTCAAAGCAAACCTGGGTACCTGGCACACATTAGGGGACTTAAATTCAATGCCGTGGGTTAGCAGTTGTCTTAGAGGGAACTCCTCAGATGTAGAGTTTACCTGCCCATTATAAACCAACGCGTCTCTCATGCACATACCCCACTGTTAAATTGCAGATACGCAACCCGTACACAATGCAGTTAATAACTGCAGCACGCTGCGCTCGTTGAAGCTATTAAAGGACATTTTTAACCTTCCCGATTACCAGCCTTAGGCGCATTTGCGCATTTTGTTAAAAAATAGTATGTTAAATATTTAAAATTGAATTAGAGCTGTATCTTATAGCAGTATTACAGAGTGATAGAACTGGAAGGTTTGATGCTCTCCTTCTAAGATCTTAACATACATTTCTGAACTACTGTTTTATTGATGAATTAGCAGCTCTTTCCCTTAGCAGGGAAAACCTGCTTTTGTATCTGATGTAGTCTGACTTAAAAAAAAAAAAAACAACCCTTCCAGTGCAGCTAGTAGCCATGCATTTTAGGATGCATTTGCCTGGTTGAGGATGCTGGTTCAGAGGTGTTAAAGAACAATCCCTTTGGCGGTACCAGAATGAATACAGTGTCTGGCATTGGGAAAATACGTTTGCTATTGTACTTTTTGGTTGCTTTGAATGAGGCTTATGTGCAAATGGTGACAAAAGAAAAGGCATGGATCTGTGCATCTTATTGGTGCACACTGCAAAAATAATTTTTGATATCGGAACCCCAGACCTGCGGGCTTTTTTTGGTGAAAGGAAGGGTGGGGCTCTCCTTCCCGCTGGTAATCAATGTAAACTTTTGTCTCCATTTGTCACATAAAAAGACTTTGTTCCTTTAGTGTCTGATGTGATGCAAAGCAATGAAGTAAGTTTGGTATTTGGCTGTAAGGTAACGTGTCTTTACTGCTTCTAAAAGCTGTTGCATGTCGTTAGTTTCCACTACAGTCATCTAATGCTGTTGAATTATACCTCCTGTTGCTGCTTTGTGATTTCTTTAATGGGGATGTGAGAAAAGCACAGTGGAAGAACAGGTGCAATCTGAGCATAAGCAAACCAGAACATGCACACATCACCGAGGCCACAAGAACTTAGATTGAGAAATCCGATGAACTTCGAAACTCAAATGAGGAAAACCCAAAGAACCCCATGCAATTCCTTTAACTTTCCGGATCTTTCCCAGTGTACGTACACCACGCAGTGCTTGATAAGAGCTTTTTAAAAGAACCAACGAATAATTCAGTCGTGATCTGTCATCAGAGATTTTGGTTTTGGCACAGAAGTAGCACACGATTCTGGCATTTTGTAGATATGAAATTAGTGATCTTACACTTTTTTTTTTGCTTTTTCAACTTAAGTGGTTGCATGCGAGAACAATTTTAGACATTCAGTGCTTGAACAGGGAAAAGGTTTGCCTTTTTAAGTTATTTTCTATATGACCTCTAACGGCAAATCTCCCGCGCTCCTTTGTTCAATTTACATGCACCAACAGAAGTTATTTTGCAGAGAAAACCTTGAAATTTCTAGGTGTTTTAAAAGGAGTTTGCCACAAGGCCACCCATTGAGATGTACATCCTTCTCGAGGTGTTAGGAGAGTTTTGACTGGGGTCGACCGGCTGCTCTGTTTGATATTCTTGATGAGTATGCCTGCCTCTCTCTCTCTCTCTCTCACCGTTTTCTTTCTCTGTCTCTCTGGTGATGTACTGTCCTTGAAACCTGTATTGATTGGCTTAGCTAGAAAGACGGACTAGTAACAAAACTGTTAGGTTTTGAACCTGATTTATTGGACCACTGAACTTATTTGGAGTCCTTTTTCGTTTTTTTCCTTTCTGTAGGTTTACCCAAGAGAATGCTTCTGTTACCAGTCATGAAATTTCCTGCATACCCCGTGCCCCACTACTCCTTCTTTTAACCCAGAGCCCGAACCAAATTCACTTTGATCCAACTTAAAGAAACTGTAAAGAGTTTTAGAAGGGAAAATGATTTTTTTTCTTTTTTTCCTACTCCACATTTTCTTGGGAATATGTACTCGATGAGCAGATCATTTGTAAAGTGCTTTTTTTTTTCTTACTCCTTTTCACTTTTACAGAAAAAAAAAACCCACAGGTTACGTACTTTAAAACTTGAAGGATGGCGTACTGTGAACTGTTACCTCATTTCTCGGGATATAAATTATACCAGCTTTTGTTTGGTTGTATGTTTGTTGTTGATTATTGTAGGGGAGACAAATTTTCACAAATATCACCATAATCTGTAAAGGTGATTAGAAATCTGTGAAGGATGTATAGAGAATTATAAACCACAGATCATCAATAAAACATTTTCTCTTAAAACAGCTGAGTACTGCCTGTTTTATAATCTAATAAGAATCTGATTAGAATTTTTTCAGTTTTGAGTTTTTTTGACACTTGTAGTATAGTTTGTATTTTTCATTTTTTAAAGATATAGCCACTTTAAATTTGTACACCAGGGATTCTGTGATTGAAGCATGTCGCGTGTGCCACCTTTGTTTTTATATTTTAGTGATTAGCTTGGTTAGAGTCTTATTTACTAAGCTTTTACACCTCTTCTAAAGTCTTCTACAGCTGGCAGGAGACCTATTTATTTGTAGGGTATTTTTTTTTCCCCACTTCTTAAGTAACAGTCTCCTCAGAGACTTTCCTAGCTTTACAGTTGCATTCCGATTTGACACATTTACACAAGCTTAGTAAGTAGGCCTCTTAACTGAGTCTCTGAACTGTCTCCGATCTGCAGTAAATACATTATCAAAGATACATTGAGGCTGCAAATCTGGCTATTTAGGGCAGGGCCAGTGCAGAGAGTCAATAAAATTGGCTTAACATATACTAGAGGAGGAGTATTTGTGCTTGATAGCTGGTTCGAGGTTTGATTTTCTTACTGCCTGTACACTTTGTTCTTGTGGCCTTTTCTTACATCAACAAAAGACAGCTTGCCAGTACCCACACTGGTCTTTGTCTGTGCAGACAGGGTGTCCATAACAATGTAAACTACACCTGCAAATTTGAGAATCTAAAGCAGCAACAAGGTCCTCATGGATACTTGCTATCTAATTGTCCCAATTTTTTTTTTCTGTTGAGTGCTACTGTGAACTGTGACCCTTTTCTCACCCACGGGCCAGCATAGGTACCTGATCACGTGTAGCAGCGTTGTAGCTTTCGGTATGTGCGGTTTTGCTCTCCAGGGCTGAAATGACAAAGATCTAGAATACTTAAGAGCTTCCTTTAGTATTGAAATGTACATCTTGCGTCTCTGTGCATTTAAGGATGCATTCAAGTAGTAGGAAAATGTGTTCCCCCCCCCAATTTTCAGCAATTAAGAGGCAATGCATACTTTAAGATGCCTTTTGCAAAGCAATCTGCCTGCCTGCTTTCTTCTGCTTTTGAACGTGCAGTGGGGAGGGGGAACTTCTGTCTGCCTTGCCTTTGTTAGATTTTCCACAGGGGTTTAGATATTCAGATCATCAAGATCCAAGGCAGGCAGAGTTGGCTTTTCAATCCATCAAGAGGGGGGTTACCGGTCTACCGCTAGGAGGTGCTTTCGCTGGCCCGTGGCTGAAGTCGCGCCATCACTGATGTGAAAAAGCAGTGCTGAGCTAGCCTTTGGCTTCCTGAGTCACTCTTGTCCGCGTTTGCACTGTGGTTCCATGGGACTTTAAAGCACAATGGGGAGCTGTGTTAGGAGGAAGCTTGGAGTGATTTTGCAAATGTGGGGGTGGGTGAATGGGCAGAGTGAGAGAGAAAAAAAGACGAAACATAAAGCGCTTGAGGAAGCCCTCTCTTAAGACAGCTTTATTTCGTCGTACAGTGCGAATGGAACCCCTTTGCAACCCGACCCGGCCCGTCTTTTCCACAGCATGATGGCAGCCATTGTATAATACTATTGATCCAAAGTCACTTTTAATTTTTTTTTTTTCCCGTCTGTTCAGAGTTACTAACCACATTGTCTATAAACTCTCCGAGTTGCTGCATATTTTTTTTACATTTCTCTGCTTTATTTCGAATGAATGAGCTCCGAGTTTTTTTTGTCGGAAGTGGTAACCGTGCAACTTCAGTTTTTCGATGTCTTTATTAACCTGAGACGACCCCGCGCAATGAAAACCCCACATACAGCCGAAAGAGCAGAGAAATCTAAATGGAGTGTCGGCTTCGAGCAAAGTCTGGAAATTAACCCGCAGTTTCTGCCTCTCTGCTCTTTTCCTCACTGTAGGTGGTTTTTTCATTGACAATCCCTTTTACCAGCCCCGGACCATCGCACCCTTTATTATTCACTTGGGTCCTCAAGATTTCTTCTCTGACTTCTAGAACCATCAGGTTGTGTGGCTCAAAACCCACTTTTTTTTTACCACTTCTCTCGTCAGTCTGGAGCTAGGAATAAAAAAAAAAACAGAAATAAAAGGCAAAACAAAACAAAATCAACAGGTCACTAAACTGACAGGAATGTACAAAACATCTCAACCTTGTCTCATTTTCCATAGAGTGCATATCCCATGAAGGAAAAGCAATACTTAATTTGACTTTCAGCTTGACTTAAGGCTGAATCTTCTCTTTATTATATAGCAATACACCTGAATTTAGCTCAAGCTTACTTGAAACAATGTGAATGTTTAATTGAAGTCTGACCTGGCAGAGCACTGCAATATTTAATTTAACTTGTATATTCACTAATGTGTGCGTGTATGTGTGATTGTTATGCTTACACATATGTATATTTCTATATATGTATGTATTCTGTTTCAGTCCTGCAGAATTATAAGTAACCATAATCCTAGGGTATAGCTTTCAACTCAAATTTTATATAAGCAATTTAAAATCTAAGTCATTTGCTATGGTACCATCATTTTTGTAAGACTTCATTTGATTAACTTATGTGTAGAAGTCTGATTTTTTAATATAGTTGAGCGCCATATTGTTTTATTTGCCTTCGGTAATGTATGCAGGTATCTGATCCTACAGAAATAATTTCTGTGCACAGTTCCCCTAGGACTTCCAGATGCATTTGGTTCAGGGCAAAGTGTATCAATGCACAATTAAGCAAACCTTTAAGCAAACACTTATTAGACCACATTAATGTACATGCAAAGCACATTTTGCAGTAAAGCCTCTTCTCTTTAATGAAGGACGTTACAGATGGTACTTCCACAGCTCATTCTGTGTGTGTTCAGATTTTTGTAATTACAAAGTGGTATGCACAGCAAATGCACTAGTTTATTTTTAGTGGATGTGAGCTAATATACCGACATCTTCATTATGTGTCCTGAAGGGGCCCGGTTACACAGGTGATATTTGGCTCTTGAACAGTTCTGCATTTGGAAGCCTTTGCCCTTCCAATAGAATGAAACCTATTAGTGTCTCATAGCTGACAAATTTAGAATAATACTGGCTTCTCAGTCTTGCTCATCCATCACATTATTACTTGTCACTACAATGTGTAATTTCATAATTCTTCATAACAGTGCAGCGCTGTGCATGCCACTGACATATTGGTACAGGACCATAGCAAAGCTGTGAAATTGCTCTTGTTTTTCCACAGTGCAACAAAATAACATTAAGGTGCAGCCAGATTTGACAATTAACATAAAAGCAACAACGTTCATTTCCAGAAGGAATGTTTTATGCATTACTTGTTTGGTCAACGTTCTGTTCATTGTATTCTAGAATGAGCAGAAAAGATGCTTTCGTTTGCTTTTTGGTAAACGTTTCATTTTGCACGCGTGAGCCTTCAGCGGCTGATCGTGCAAAATTCGCTTTTCGTGTTTTTATTTGACTGCTCTGTCAATCGTAGTAAGGCGCCGTAGGAGCCTGAAAGCAACTGAAGTTTGAATCGGTCCCTGCAAAGGTATCCTGGGAACTTTTTAATTAAGGCTGTCTTCTCTGTGCGTTAATTTCCTGGCTAAATTAAGTTAAAGTATGTGAAATAGATATATTTGTGAAGTCTTCCGAGTATCCCAAAGCAAATGCTGTTTTTATAACTAGTCACTTTAAGAATTAGAATGTTCTATTCTGCTGTCGTCTGAAGAATGTACAATGTGTTCTTTTTTTTTTCTTGAGTTCCAAGTGAATTTGAACCCTGTGCTTGTCCATGCCCTCATACTGTTTTTTAGCCTAAAGAGTGAAAACATTTTAGGGTTGGCATGTTTCATCCCATGAAATGAAAGCCTAGGTGCTGGTAGGTCGAGGTGCTGTTTTGATAGCAGTGTCATCACCTACTTGCCTTAGCTGGTCTGATCTAGGAAACCAAGCAAGACTGGGTCTGGTCACTATTGGCTGGAAGACCTCTAAGAAAAGCCTGGTTTCTGCTATAAATTATAACGGCGGACCAGTAGGAGGTGCTCTTCTTGTAGTGAGGTGTGAGGAAGTAGGACACTTTGCTGCAGGAGGTACTGTCCTGCAGATGACTGAGATCTTTATTAACTTAAATATTAAACACTCTGGGCTTGAAGCCATTTCTCATACCATTCTGCCTGATCTGCTGTGTAGTGATTCTTCACTTCTTTGGTGGATGAATTGAGTCCCCTCCTACCTAAATTGAGATCCATTGGGATGAAAATATAGGAATATAATGGTTAATAATTGGAATCATTTTCCAATAATAAACAATTAGGAAAATAATTGTAAACAGACAGCTGGGAAGAATCCAAAGCTACTGTATATTTAAGATGCAGACAGATATGCTGAACGTCAGTCAGAAGAAAAGGGGTTTTGCAATATAGTATCTACTTTAAAAGTAGAGGTTAGAGTTGGGACTCATTAATGTTGGAACAAGTCATGTTTTTTGTTTGCAAATGAGGCAAACCTCTCCATTTTTTTTGCATTCCCACCCTCATGCTATTTTACAAGCAATTAAAGGGCCTCTATTTTGAGAGAGCTTTTCTCCATCTTGAAATGTTTCCAATCTGACAACGTGATTTTTTTTTACAAGGTAAGAACTCTCTCCTGCCAGAAACATATATAAAATGAAGAGCATTCTAATTTCCAAACCCACCTTGGTGATGTTTCTTTCGTGTTGCAGCCTAGTCTTCATACCTTACAACATGACTTCAGTGCAACCCTTCAAATCTTCTCCATAACAGAATTGTGCTATAATTCATAGCTGATTGATCATTAGGGTTAGGTATAGCAATTTAAAGAGCACGTAGCATCAATAATATTTTAAGTCGAATAATTTCATTCTTGCAACTCTTCATTTTTGAATTCATGAGGAATATACTAGTAATAATGCCATTTATGTGCAAAAAATACTTCAGCAGAACGTCCTCTGTTGCATGTTCTTTTTATTTCGTATGATAGTCACACAGCAAAACATGTATTTATTCTTGAAGAACACAAAGAAGCTGCAAAGAGGAGGGGGCCCCTCAAATATTGTACCTTATTTTGTTGATACTAGTTGATCCAAGGATCGTCCTATGAATTATTCATTTATCATATTCTCAGCTTTGACAATATGTCTAGGCAGCTTCCCCCAAACCCCCATGACCATTTGTACAAAACAGTGCCTCCTGTTACCGGTTTTAAATGCACTTTTCTGTATTTTTTACTTAACGCATTGCATTCATCCAAAAACCTAACAGCACAATTTGTGAAAATGTCATTTTTGCTCTATCCCGATTTGAGAGCAAAAAAGTATTTTTTTTTAACTTTCCCCTGTCTGGATTTTGACTCTTCGTGTCATTGTCCCCTCCTGCTGAGTGTCCACTGCTGTTCTGTAATGTCCGTTTTACAGGCGCAAATGAGCATGAAATCGTACACCACTCCATGATAAAGAGTGGAATTGAAGAAAATCTTATATTGCTGGAATTTCTTGTTTCTCTAGTTCTCAGTTGCTGGCTGTCCTATTCCCCCTTCCACAGGTGATCTGGCATGCTCATGAAGGATTCAGGTAAAAAAATAGCACCCAGAAAATATGTATCCAAGCTGCCCAAGTCCTTAGAGTTGAGTTTAATTGGGGTCCTTTAAAGATCAGTAACATTTTAGAGATTTGTGATAGTGACCACACGAAGCATTCGCCTTTTGTTTCATTGCCATTGGGGTTTTTGAGAAAAGTTTCCTGAAGTACTTTCCTTTTTTTGCTAGCCAAATAAGTAGAAGAAAAAAAAACACACCAGCCCCCTCAGAAGACACACTGTAGTGCTGTGCCGTACAATAAGAAACCTGTTTAAAACGCAGATCCTTGACGACCTTGGAAAAAAATGTGGGGTGTGCCTTTCCATAGACGGATTTCATTAACGGAACCCTGCCGGTGTCCCAGCGTCTTGCCCATTGTGTTCCTAGTCATCGTTAGCCGTGTCCAACAAAGTACTCCAGTCACTCATATTTTTGAAAGAAACTGAAATTCTACCTCCCAATAAATACGTGCAAGCCATAGTCCAAGCCACCCAGAAGCCTCCCTGAGATGCGTGTGCATTTGAGCTGTAAACTTCACATGCATAATTCCAGGGTTTGAAAGAAATCTTTCTGTGTCGAGTTTTGGAGCACAATTGTGTAGCAGGATGAGCTAAGAAGATGGCAAAACACAAGCGATGCTTGCCAAGCTACCAGTACGGTAGTAGCGTCTCCTCTTGGTGAAATTGTGGAGCTGCCCGATGCGACGTTTGGAAATGTAATTGGCCTTTTTTTTTTATAAATGTATAACCTTCATGCTGTGAAGCCCCAAACTTCTCCGCCTTCCAATTTGATTCTAGCACTATTAATAACCTCACAAGCTCTCTCAGACTAAAACCTGCTACTAATGAAAGGTAATTGAATTTAAAAGTATAAGGAATCTCAGGTTCACAGTGTTAGACAAGAAAGTAATCAGATCAGTGGGAGCTCGTGCTCTCTAGCGTGTTTTTGCTGCGTTGTTTTTTTTCCCTCCTGCAAATTGTCTGAGTTGTCTTGTAGTGAAACAGAAATGTGGTATAAAGATTCAAGTGCTTAACTGCTTTTCTGAATCGGTTTCAGGTTCTGCACTGGGTACTTTTAGTTAACTGTCCATATCGGGCTTAACTTTACCCAAAAACAAAGGTAAGGATAGTTTCTGTGAGTTCAACTTTTGTTATCTCCTCCCCTCTTTTCCCACCAACTCCGTGGATTTTATTATGTTATGGTTGTTGGAAGTTTGCACTTCAGATATTAGAAATGCTACCAAAAAGAGCTGCCCAAGAGATACTTTATTCTAGTCCGACACCAAAACACACAAAAAAAAATAGCAATAAAAAGACATCCCACATTTACGATATTCTGTACGGTACTTTGTGTGACATACAGATAACCCCTTCATGCTTTGTTTTATATTGAAATAATTGATTTATAATAGGATGATGAAAAGATTTTACAGAAGGTAGTTGGGGACTTTGGCCTGCTCTTCTTCTGCTTGCGACGTTCTGAACTATGTAAATAAACCTGTATTCAGCCTAGCACCTTTTATTTAAAAACACAGAGGCAGCTCTTGTCATAAGTGGCAGTTTAAGGCTGCTGGCTGAACAGTCTTTTCTAGAGATCTTGCCAGATAAATAGCTACGCTGTCGCACATAAATAGGTGCTGCCTTAAGGATGCAAAGAAATGCAGTTTAGAATTGCAGTTGTTTGCATACAAGCTCGTAGTGTTCTGTTGTAGTCAGGGGCTGTATTGTAGAATATAGGTTGTCCAAATAGCCAGATAACAGTGAATGTTTAAATGTCACTTTGTACATATGAAGCTAACCTGGTTTTCAGTTTTGTTTTGCATATTAAGATGGACTAAATGTTTGTTTTTTTAAAACGAGCAGCATCTGAATTTTTTTTTTAATACTGTTCTAATCAATCTGTCATAAGAGCAATGAAGGGGGTGTTTCACATGATTTCTATGTTTACATTAAGGCACGTGCAAAAGAATTGCAGATTCAGTGCATCCTTTTTATTTTTTACCATAAATTATAAAGGCGTGTTTGACAAAGATATTTAAACCAGCAATATCACTAGAGGCATTTGCTTTTAAGCTTATGAAAAATAAAATGTACAAATGTCACATTAATTAATAATTACATATGGTGACATGAAAGTTCTTTGTGTGCATCAGAAGAACATATGTTTCATAGCTGCACATCAGTTAGACATCTAATCAGTCTGGCACTTAGACATCTTAACCTATCACTTTGTTTCCTTCTATTTCCTAACAATACTGGAAGCACAAGTTACATTAGCAATATATTACTCAGGGTGCAAGATAAAAGTCACCAATCAGAATCAGGCCTTTACTAATTTTCCCTGCAATACAGTTGATCAGTCAATAGGTTAATTTACACATGCATGCAGATTCTGGCTGATTCCATTATGTATATACTGTAGCTAGACGAGAATTGGAATTTATATAAATATAAGGAAAAAACACAAAGTTTGTTTTTGTCTGAAGTTAAGAAGAAAACAGTTGTAAAATGCATGTCTTTGTGTGAAACCATTTGTTGCATATGGAAAAGGAGGATAGTTGATCTTCTATGCATCCACTGCATCTGAAGCTGCATGTGTGCATAGACAGTTGTAAAAGGCCTTTGTGCCAGACAACTCATAGTGAATACAGACGTTGATTCCTGAAGTTTTCTCAGTGCTTGTTTACCTTACTGTAGTGTATTTGTTGTGCCAGTGTGCTGTATTTCTTCACCCCACTGTCGGATTCAAAGTCAAGGCCACAACACGACAAGGCCAAAAACGAGCTTTTCCAACTTAATTTTGAATAGAAACCAAAGGATAAACATTTTAGTTCAGGGTTTTAATGGGGCATTAATATGTAAGTAGCTTGCCATCAACAGTGACTTATGCATAGTTCTAAGTATGCTGACAGTTTCATTTTAAGGAGTTGTCTGTGCAGCAGAATTAATCACTTCTTAATTGTTGTTTCTTGTCTCCCTAATTTTCATTGTCACACCCCCCCCCCCAGATATAACTTCTGTTTTCTGCACAGGCTTTTCTTTCAGTCCCAATATTACTTCCTTATTGTTGTCAAAGTAAACCCGTAAGCGCTGATGGTTGCACGCTCAGTAAAAAAATGCCCATGTGTTTTAATAATTAAAACCTACCCAGCAATGTAATTACATCCTAGCAAAACACAAAAGGCCTGCAAGATTGAAAACACATTTCCTTGCACAACCCATCTTTGAAAAGACAAGCTAGAAAAGGCTTGTTTCTTCTTTTTCCTGTCCAGAAATGACAACTAACAGCCATATTATCTTGGTGCTTTTCACTTTAAAATGTCTAATGCAGCCAATAGCTTCCTACTGTCTATTGTTGGTGGTTTTATCCCTTTCAGTCTTTCTTGTGATTTAAATACCCCTTTGCTGTGAAAAACGTGTAGGCCAGTAATCTTAAGAAGTATGTGCGGCAAAGATGATGAAGCTGGAAATTCGATTGGTGTGTCCAGAACTGGAGATCTGAAAATAGAAATGGATCCAGTTTCGGACTGAGTAAAGTGCACCTAATTAAGTGCTGAACTATGAATATTATACATGTCTTTCCCACGTGCTGCACGGAGTAAATTTGGACGCTAGCTTATGATCCAAGCTTGCTGTTTTTGAATGTACATTGTACTAGAAGAATCTATGAATATAAAAGCGCTACATGCATTTTTTTATTTTTTATATATATATAAAGCTTTTTACTACTTGTATAACTATACTGGGCTTTGAAGTCCATTCTTGTTTACATTTTATTTCCCTTATTTAAAGTTTTTCGCAACAGTGGAGTCTTATGTTTGAGAAGTTGATTCATTTTGCAGTGGTGCGGATCTACCTGTAAATATATTCTTTTCACAGTTCTAAGGTAAAGTCAATAAAAAGGGACAGATCTGGTTTACCTGTCTTGCTTTTTGACATGTTTGGGGGAGGGGAGTAATACAAAAAAAGTTTCTTCTAGAATTTAGTTTTTAAAATGTAAAATGGTGATTGTACGCAAATGCTATGACTGAAATGTGCTTTAGGCAGAGCTGTTTTAAAAAAAGTAGATATGTTTGCTAGTTCTGTGTTGCAAAATTATAAGTCGCTGAAAGCCACATTGGCAACCTGCTGTTTGTCACTGTATCTGCCATAATTTATGCTTGAACAATAAAAGTACTGAATCTCTTGAAAGTGTCAACCTTTTCTTAAAACGAGGAAATAAAGACAACGTTAAAGACATCTTGCTTTTCTGGTGTTTAGCCAATTTTGTTTTTCCCTTCACACTGTTAACAGAGAACTTTAAGTGCCAATGGAAGAACTTCTCCATTATCTACATGGAACAAGGTTCTGTGTTACAAGCTCTTTCAGCTCAAGAACGCCGATTAAAGTGTAGAGGCGACTGAAGCAATTGAACTGCCCATCATTTCACACTGTGCAAGTTGCAGGGTGCGCTACTGTGTGATGAGTGACAGCACTGCTATTTGCCACCATTAAATGCATTTGTAGGATGAATCCATTCTTCACATTGCTTTCAGTTATCTCTGCAACTGCAAGTGCCCCCATAGGACAGTAATGGAAGGTTTTAATTGCTCAGAGAGGGTGTAGTTGTCTGTGGGAGAGTACTGTGCGCCCAGTGTCCAGTACAGTGCAGTGGAGGTGTAAAACTGGGCTTGCAATGTGGCCGACAAGGCAGGACTTCCAGACAGAAGCAGGGAGGGGATCCAGGTGTCTGTGTCAATCGCAGGGCCTGAGGTCACTTGGCCAGCCCTCCAGCAATGCTGACATCATCGCTCCAGCCCTTACCACACAGGCCTCCCAACAGGACCCCTGGAATACAGCACCCCCCTCCTCCAAAACAGATTAATCCTCAGCTGTTGTCACTGTGCTCTTCTCTCCTCTTTATGTTTACTAAGGGAAGCCGATAAGTTTTTAATTATTTAACCAGAAGCAAGTATTATAAGACACATGCATCATGTACTCCTATATATTTCAGGGAGGGTTTGATAGACAGATTTTTGTAGCCTATTTACAGTACAGCTCTCGTTTAAAGTAGGCTATAAATAGCTTTTAATTGGGTTGAGCTGAAACTTACATAGACCTGACTTAAAACATTCTGTTCTTTTGACTAGTCTTTCTTCAGTTTAGATTCTTTACTAAGTTTTTTTTTTTAAAAGATGCCTTTTATAAAGAATCATTATTTTCTACTGAGAGAAGCAATGGTCTGTTTTCATTAATATATGATTTGAAGGTTGTGCTTTATTTGTTCCGCAGATAAATGCCTAAAAATAGCCCAATATTCTGGCCCCCTTTAAAGAGTGTTTTTTTTCCACGGTTAGTGTAGGGGTGGGGGGACAGACTCGTTTTGGGGGGGAGGACGCCTGGTGCTGCAGAGACGCTCGTTTTGCAAAAGCTGAAACGAAATGAGCGAATGAAGAAATGGCCCGTCTGTTTTTCAAGTACAGCCACCCATCTCGATGGACATACATGCGCATATCGGTGTGGGGGGGGGAATTGAGACCCCATTGAATCTAAACAACACCATTGGCCTGTGGGAAGGAAAAGAGCACCTGCTAAAACCGGCCTTGCGATATCAACACAAGCAGCAGGACTGTCACCCCACCACTTCGTCCTCGGTAAACCCAGAAGGGAACAACTCCATTATCACCACGCCTCCAGATTAGCAGTCCTGTGCCGACAGCATTCCCTCCCAAAAAAAGCCGCCGAACATCACAGAAAAGGTTTGATTCTGGGCTTCTGAAAATAAAGATCACACCGCATGATTGGCGCGCGTCTTTTACGATTAAACAACGGGAAAGCGCTGAGCTTCGCCTTTCTATTCCAGGAGCATTTGGTTTGTGGTTATTTGATTGCTTGGCATGCACTGCCTTTCAATGTTGTTTTGACATGTAGATTTTAAATCCCTCATCGAGTTCTGCTGGAGGACTAGTGCTTTCCTTGGGAAACCCAGACTGGTAAGTCCTTCCTGGAGGCTTACTCTCAGGCCTACTCAATTTTTACAAGCTAGACTGTGTAACTGAAGTTCACGAGCAGAAACGACACCCAATCCCAAAATGCATGTGAGTGGGTTTTTGAAGAAGTTAGGCATGAAGAGTTTTTTGGCTTAACCTCCTTGGCTGAGGTTCAACCACCTGGCTGTAGGACAAGAGAGCTGGGACATTCAGACGTGCCGAGTGGACTCTGTGAGGAAGAGAGGGGCTTGCTGGGATTATTTCTTAGCAGCGTGTCGAGAAGTGAAGTCATGGCGGATTACAAGTTAGGGCAGCAGGATTGAAGGTGAAAGCGGCCGTCGTCAGTCTTCAAAACTGTTGTTTAAAAAACTCCATTAAGCCCCTTTCAAAGCTGTAGTCATGCTTCACAGCACCTGTGACAAACCGGGCTAACTGAACACGGCGCATTAATACCGAACATCGCTTTTACTGTTGGGTTAGAGGGCCGGGTTAATAAGCCCAGCAAAAATGGTTAAATATGCCCTCGGCTTATTGAACAAGCGGTTTGCAGTAGCTTGCCTGTAATCTTTCTTTTTTGTGTGGGGGGCAGTAAGATAGAAGTTGTTAAATTTGTCCAGTCAGGCCCATAATGAGCTGATTTATGCGGTGAAGAGCCGGGTGGAAATGAAAACGAACTGTACCTCGTTGAGGTGGGGACATTGAAGTCGAAGGTTTACATCCGTCTCGCTCTGTGTTCAAGGGGTCTTGGCTCCGACAGCAGGAATCGGCAGCAGCAAGGTGAGCCTCTCTAATGTGTCCTTCGACACTCCTGCAGATGAACAGTCACTGGAGACAGAGGGGCTGTGAGCTCTGGCCAATGATGAACGGCCACGTTCTGAAATCAGTAGTTGCACAGAATGCGCAAAAAAAAAACTTCTGCCTTTTTTTAAACATTTTTTTCAGAAAGACAGGAGTTGCAAGGTACTCGCCCCACCCCCTGCTGAAAGCAGTGCGTGGTTAAAGACATCTCAAAAATGAAACGGCATTCACTGTAAAAAAGTACAACTAAAAACCCAATGTTGCATAAACATCTGGAGAAAAAACATTGCAAAACTGCAGCTCTTGCTCTTTACATGTAGCATTTTTCCCCACGTAATTTTCGTCATACTTTTAAAGGCTTTAGCCTGATTACAATACTTCCTTCAACCCCGTCATTGCCAGATAAAATGCAAGTGTTGATATCTATCCACAAAGGCACAATATTTCCAAAGAGGAGTTGCTCTGGATGATCGTTTGCTAGTCTGGTTCGGCCAATGAGGTAATCAAGAGAAACTGGGGAGTACTCGGGTCGCTTCCTTTAAAAACACTGCAGATCCACAGGGCAGACAGCTTGATGATGAAAACTCTTCTCTCCACAAGAGAGATGTTCTGATACACTGCATACATAGCCATGTATATAAGGTGATTCAATGGTGAATACTACAGAATTAGCATTAGCTCCGTGGCTCAGGATCTGCGCCTGTGGCTGGAAGGTTGCCGGTTCAAATCCCGCAGCCGGCAGAGGAATCCTACTGCGTTGGGCTCCCAAGCAAGGCCCTTAATCCCAACTGCTCCAGGGGTGCCGTACAATGGCTGACCCTGTGCTCTGACCCCAAGCTCTCTCCCTGTCTGTGTGTCTCATGGAGAGCAAGTTGGGGTATCCGAAAAGATAATTCCTAATGCATGAAATTGTAAAGGGTTAATAAAGTGAGGTTGTAATTATTATTATATATACACGTCTTTAAGAACAAATGAGCATTTGTGACACAAATAAAATGCATGGCGATAGCATGTCTTTATTACCCATTACCACCCAGGAAACATTTTCTCACTTCATATCTGGCTACAGCCTTAAACAAATTCTCCTTTCATAGCCACAGTGCACTGCCAGCCCAGATACGTGCCCTTTGTTACAGATGTAGAGTATGTCAGTGTTTCATGTTACACTGGCAGTGTTTATTTAGATCAACTCAAAATTACATTCATGGGTGGCATCCCTGTTCCAGTTGTAAAACAATTAGTCTTCAAGGTGACGTGATCAGTGTCTTTGGGTAAGAACATGCACATATAAACGCTGTGCATACTTACCACTTGGAATCGATACACTTGCTAGCGAGCAGCACGCTACAAGACGATTATGGAGACGTTGCAAGTTACAGACAAGCAGTGGGATGCCTGCATAGGACACCCACAGCTGGAAAGCTCATTTTGACTGGCAGATGTGCAACTCTAGGTATTTCCAGCTCAGCTCTTGGCATAAGGGAAGTGAAGTATTTGAGACCAGCCTGCTCTTACTGCGTGTCATGATACCCACTCCGGAAAAATCCAATTGTCGTCACTCATTGTAAGCCAGTCCATGGCGTCTGGACATGCCTGATGATAACTAGTGTAATCCTACCCAGACCTCTTCTGCCCAGATTTATAAGGTGGCGAGCAGAGTGCAATTCAATCGCCCCTGCACATTCTATCGGGGTTGCATTAGAAGGCTTGTCTTGATCAGCACGCTTACAGATCCTGCTGAGACCGGGGTATTTTTAGTAATGTGAGAAAAAGCAGCTGCTATTGAGTTGCATAACGCTTATGTGCGCCATTCAGACTCTTTGGGCTTGATTTCCACAGACTCAGAGGCTGACCTTAGGAGAAATGCCAGGACGTCAGCACGCTGGCAAAAAATGCCGGATGGCGGCGTTTCTTGCTGAAGGTGATAATTTTATGGGCTTCTGTACCTTCTGGGATGCTGCCCACAGAGAATTAAAAAAACAATCTGAAGACATTTTGCAGTTAAAGGGCTTGCAGGTATCCAGTTTTAGGCACATCAGACACTGGTGATTGATATCTGTACAAACATGCTAATTGAATTAAAAGAAACGGGACGAGCAATAATAATTAATAATAATAATAATTGCTGACAATTATTATTATTATTTTCTGGACACTCCACTCAAAGCGCTTTACAGGTCATGGGGATCCCCTCCACCACCACAGATGTGCAGCATCCACCTGGATGATGCGACGGCAGCCATAGTGCGCCAGAACCCTCACCACACACCAGCTCTCAGTGGGGAGGAGAGCAGAGTAATGAAACCAATTCATAGAGGGGGATTATTAGGAGGCCATGATTGGTAAGGGCCAATGGGAAATTTGGCCAGGATGCCGGGGTTACACCCCTACTCTTTTCGAGAAAGACCCTGGGATTTTTAATGA